ATTTTATTGAGTTTATTGGTACATTTTAGGGATACAGTACAGTTACATTCATTGTTGGGATCATGTACCTTTACATGGCAAGTCTTGATTCTCATTTTTTCCCCTTACCTCTGCCCTCCCTTCACCCCCTCCTCCCCTCCCCATCTACAAACACTTTATTTTCATCTTTTCATTCTCTCACATTTTTGAAAAGCAAGTTTGATTTTTAATCCCTCCAGCTCAAGAAATTTGTAAATTTACAATAGATATTATTGTTGCATTTCAATTATACGCATTCCTCTTTTTAGGTGGATCTTCTTGTCCCTACCAAAGTGACCGGTATAATCACACAAGGAGCAAAAGATTTTGGTCATGTCCAGTTTGTTGGGTCCTACAAACTAGCCTACAGTGACGATGGGGAACGCTGGACCGTGTACCAGGATGAAAAGCAAAGGAAAGATAAGGTGAGTCGTTAGGTGGCCCACAGACCTCACCCGGGAAGGGCAAATCCAAGGTGAGTTTCGGTAAATGCACAGACAGCATTTGCACTTATGTTGGAAATAATGACTACATAGTCTAAAAACTGTATGTTACAAAGATTAAAAGTACATAAGGGTGTTTATAGTTGAGTATGTAATAGTGAAACCTAGAAAAACAACGACTTTACTGAGAGCCACCGTGTTATTGATTGAAAAGGTGTGGCTCTCTGAAATTCATTTTAGGTTTTATACACTTAATTGTAGCTTGAAAAATATATCATAATCCACATGTAAATAGATACTGCTGTAGCACATGCTATTATTATTATTCATATTAAAATAAATTACTGGTGTTAGAACAAATGTTTGCTTGGGGAAAAGATTTCAAAACTTATCTAGTTTAAAAAATTGAGACTACCTTAATTATGTTGACAAGCAGAAGTTTAAGCAACACAGGTAGACAAATTATGACTATTCTATTAATTCATTGAAATAAAAGTCAGAATTTTTGTTCAATTTCCTTAATCATATTTTAATTAATACATTTGTTATGAAATATATAATGTGACTTAGGCTCTATGTATATACACCACGCAATTCTAAGCATGCAATCTCTAGTAATTTTTAAAGTTATTACCATTTTGAACATATTTTCATAGTATGTACTAGTGCCAATTTCTGGGGGACCCAGGGAAATAAAAGTGTGCAGGAATATTATCTGGAGCTAATTTGGAGCAAAAATTAAAACCTGGCCTCAGTTGGACTAAGTCATTGAGTTAATTTATTGCTCAGAACCCTTATGCAGGAACTCTAGCTTTCTGAGAATATGAACAGAAAATCTTGGTTTAAGAATTTTGGGGAAAAGGCATGTTAATCTGTGCCATGTTACGTATTTCTAAATTAAAAATGATCGTCTTCTGATTAGTCCTTTTATTCCCTCGTTGTTGCGCTATTAACCAATAGAGAGGCTGAGAATACTTTCCTTTCTTCAAGTGTTCAAGGCAGAGAATTTATGAACTTCACCAGAAGCAGCAGTTCTGCTGTTGCCATTTCAATGTATTGAGAGAGGCTGAATTCACTTCTCACAAAGTTCCTAAAGACTTGGATAACCACACGTATTCTCACCTTAGCGCCCCAGAATGCATCACTCATTTAACACCTCAAGACATGAGCTCCTTTGACTTCTCAAAGATTTAGACATGCATATTCTTACAGTGTTAACAGTTTAATTGGGAATGCTTGTTCTTTCCCCTAAGAATTTTAAGTAATGGCGTGGTCTATAATCAGTGGCATCTTAGATTAAATGAATGTTGAGTTTTTCTAAAACTTTATTCTATGCACTACAAACATCAATAACTTATTACGTATAATTATTCCAGTTCTTATCCTTCACCTTTTAGAGTATGTCTTTCCTAAGGGAAAATCTTTAAACTTCTTTAGTAACAAAGCCTCGACATTAATTTTAAGACGGATAAGTAATTGTGCTTGTTATCCATGCATAATATTTGCTAAGGAGCACGTGTGTAATAGTGAGATCTTTCTGCAGGTTATTCAAGGAAGAAATGCAAAAAAAAATACGATTAGAGATTTCAGCCATGGAAATATCTCTTGATCTCCATTCATATTGAAGATTGCTTTAATGATCATTATGAGTAATTTACCTTTTTAATAGAATAAATGTTTGAAAAATATTTTAATTTTCTTATTAATGTATTTCGCTTCATTAGTCCAGTCTGAAAAATATATTGAATTTTCCTCCAAATTTGCCATCTTGCCAGAATGTAATGTTCAAGTTTCCTGCAGCCTCACTGATTTTCTCTTCTGCTTGTCCTAGCACTTACATAGAGAGGAAAGTGAAAATCCACATTTTTAACAATAGAGTTGTCTATCTCTTGCAATTATATCTTGTTGGCCTTCTGTATTTCGAAGAGACTTAGCAAGATCTTGTCTCAAAATGAAAAATAAAGTGCTGTTTTAAAAGATTTTTTAAAGGCCTGGGAATGTAGCTAGGTGAGAACAAATCCCTGAGTTTCAGTGCCTCAAATTGTAAATAGGATTTTAGTGCCCTTTTGATTAATTCTTTTTCATGTGATATGTTTTGTTCTGAGATTTATTTTGGCATTAATGAGTTATTCCAGTTTTCTTTTCATCACCTTCATGCATGTTTTCCCATCGTTTCACTTACTGGTCCTCTGTATTTGAAATGCGTTTTTTGTATAGTGCGTGGATGGGTCTTTGTTTTTGTGTGCTTGTTTCTTTCGTTAGTCATGTTTGCAGTATGCAGCAAACATGTTCAGCGTGGGAATTTGTACCTGTACGTGACACTTCTCAATTCTTTGTCTTTTTACTTCACTTTCCCCTTTCCTCCTTCCAGATCATCTCTACCTTTCCACAAAAAGCTGTGCTTCCATTTTTTCTTTCAGTTCTTTTTTTTTTCTTTAAATACCTTTTCCTTCCTTCCTTCCTCCCTCCCCTATCTCTTGTCCCCCTTCCCGTTTGCACACAACAGAAACAATAAGGCACTTAAACTTGTGTGTTTGATTTACTTCACTTAGAATCATGATCTCAGGGAGCATCCGTTTACCTTTTAACTGACACATTTTAACCTAAATAGTTCAAATTTGCTTTGACAGCTGATTGGGCTTAAATTGATTATTTTGCTCTTTATTTTCTATTTAGTATGTCTTTTTGCCTTCATTTGGATTCAATGAATGTTTAAAGATTCCATTTTATGTCTTTTGTAGACTTGTTAACTCTAATGATTTGTTATTTTAGTGATTGCTTTAGAATTCTGGCATACATTTTTAGATTTATAAAACCTGCCAAGCCCAGGAACTTACAGCATCTCCAAAAGCACAAACAAACTAGACTGTGGCTAAGTACACTCATGTACTTAGGAACCACACTTATCACAATATATGATTTTATTATTACCAAACTAAGTCATAAATAAATTGGCACCTCCTACTCAATATGAAAAACTATGAGAGCAGATTGACATATGCTATTTACTGAAAGAATGTAAGACAGAATTCTTAAAGCTAACATGCTATCTATACAATAGAAAAACTATTGAAAAAATCAAATCTGTTCAAGATTATGAACATATGACCTTTTGTAATAGTCACTTTCCCCTCAGTCGCACACAACACTGAGAGGCTTGATTTGTTCATGGTTTCAGGGTGTGGTCAGCTGGCTCCCAGGCCGAGCCGTCATGGCGGCAGGGGGTGGCGCGGCAGAGCCTCTCGTTTCATGGTGGCCTGGGAAGCAGAGCAGGGGAGCAGCACAGGGAGGACGGGGCAAGAGGCCACGTATAGACCCATAGCCTAGACACAGGCAAGGTGTGTTGTTTCTCAACCCAATGATGCTGACAGCATTCAACTGATAGTCCTAAAATGAAATCTATCTAGTTTATAGAATTATAAGTAATTAGGTTCAATGAAAAAAAAATACTAAGATAACTATTCGTTATTGAAAGAGACAAGTGACATGCATTTAATGAACTGTAAGTAAAATGCGGCAATTAATAGCACCATAAGGAAATAATTCATGTAGGACAAGGAGGTACAGGGCAATGAACCTCTCCATTCCTGCATAGCGGGGAATTTAAAGGACAAATATAAAAGCACTTGAAAAGGTAGGCTGGTATATATAATGGTATACATAATGGCTATAAAACATTGTGCTTTGTTCTGTTGTCACTGCCATTAGATATTTTATCTATATGCTTTATATATCTGAAAAGAAGAGCACCATGTAACTCAGCAATAGTTTCTCTGAGTTTGACTAAGCAATCTCCTACTAATTCTTGATGGTATTTGCACTTTATGTTTATGGTTATTTTGCATAAGTGAAAAAAGTTTTCAGTATTCACAAGTGCAAAGTCAACTATAAGGCTTTATGAAAATGAGTACAGTAATTTATTTAAATATTTCAGGATGAAATATGTGTCTGTGAGGTGTTTTATAGTGGCATGTTTCTAATAGAAGTATTCACAAAGGTTTCTTCTCTCTCCTTTTTTCTGAGTGTGTGTGTGCATGTATGTGTGCATGTGTGTGTGCACACCATCTCTGACTGACCGTTTGCTTTACTAGACTTGGGGTGTGGTATGGAAGTGTAGTGTAGATCCAAATACAGCATTACTTCCAGAAAAACACTCAAATCAATAGTAGTGTTCCAGGCTACAGTGAGTGGTATCAGTGAAATACTAAAATTATATGAGCTTCATTTTTGTTTTGCATTAGAATGGGCTAAAATTCAGGAAGTCAAAGCTAGATTACATATGTGCATTACATGTGGATGCACTGAGTTTACCTATGAATGCATCGTGTATTCATACAGACAGACAGACCAAAAGTCGACTGGAGGAAGAGAAATTCCCTTTTCTCTTTAAGGGGTGGATTTCTACCATCTCACTCCAGAAAGAGTGGCCAGGATCAAGAAATCAAATAATAAATGCGGGCTAGGCTGCAGTGGGGCAAGGAGAGGAACCTTTCTAGATTTCCACTACGGAAATCAGTGTGGGGACTCCTCAGAAAACTAGTTAGAAATTCCATTTGACCCAGCTATTCTCCTCCTAGGCATCTTCCCAAAAGATTTAAAGATCATTCATGTACATATTGAGTTTTATAGCGACACAATTCATAACAGCTCAGTCTTGAAAGTGGCCTGTCTGTCCATCTACAGATAAATGAGTAAAGTAAATGTGACATTTATACACTATGGAGTACTACTCTGTCATAAACACAGATAATCCTGAGGCATTTGTGGGAAAACGGGGGACTTTGATAACATAATGTTAAGTGAAATGAATTGCACATATTAATATCACATATTCCCTCTTATATGAGACACCTCCAAGGAATATAGAGAAAAAAAACAGATTTTTAACTAACCTCCCATATCCTTTACAAGATTGCAATCAGTGTTCTGCTTTACTAAAATTCCACACCTAACCTTTGTTTTTGAGCCTGTGAGGACATTCT